AAGGACTCGTAAGGACACAAAAGGACTAGTAAGGACATAAAAGGACATAAAAGGACACAAGGGACAAGCGAGGAGTAGAAAGTACAGAAAAGAGGAGTTTTGAGAAATGCGTACTACTTACAAGACGCTGTGCACAGTGTTCAATTAATTTATGTTGCACGACTATATGGTGTGCTACCATGTAGTGCTTACCGTTTGTTTTGTAGCCAGTCTTTAATTCTTCTTTAGTGGATAGTACCTACAATTGCAAAACTCAACAAAATGCCACTTAAACCGGCCAGGAAAGACAAGGATACGTTCAGTTGAAGGTATCTTAGCTTTGTTTTGTTATATTTTGACTTTTGGATTATTTTAGTCCATGGGAGGTTCGACGACTCATCGCATTAATTTGTCCATGTGAATATTAATATATTCATTCAGTGACACATACTACGTCTGGGCCGCCTGTGATGAGTTAAGTACCTTTCACAAATTCCTGAGCAACTGACACTTTAATTTAGCTGAACTTAGCCGTCACTATGATGGCTGACGAGTTGCATTTGGAATTTCTCTTTCCATTTAATCATTTAGATAATAGTTCCTTTAACCTAGCACTCTATGAGTTATCCCATGGCCCTTTTAAATTCCAATAGCAACCATCTTGTAACACTCTTATTTAATCCTATAGAGCAATCTGAGTTATCCAACTCACTTTCCAGTCATCTGAACCCTGATTCTAATTTTATTGCTGGTCTACCCTCAAGTAGTTACTTGGCCGAGGATAATATAGATAGTCGAGTAGCTCCCCTTAGCGACAAAATAAATTTTTCCATTTTACACTTAAATGCTCGTAACCTGCTATAAAGTCTTGACCAATTGAATTTAATGCTTGGAAGTCTCAAAATCGGTATTTCAGAAACGTTAAAACATTATTGTTGGATCTGTGTAGAGACCGCCAAATCAAAACATGGCCTTGTTTCTAGACAAATTTATCGACATTCTTTCTGGTATTTCTAAGGACAACAAACAATGTTAAGTTATGGGAGACTTTAACCTCGACCTTCTCCAGTAAAACCATCATACACCAACTCAAGAATTTATCGACACTATTTTCGCACGCATTTATTCCTGACATCTCCAATCCAACGCGCCTCACCTCTTATTCTGCAACCCTAATTAATAATATAGTCACAAATAATCTTTCTCAAAATGTTTTAAATGGCATTGTCCTAAACGGTATTATCCGATCACCTACCGGTTTTTGCTTATTTTTCTGGCAAAACCCTGACGCGCGATGGAGAAAATAAAGTATTCATACGCAAGGCTACTGACGAAAATATTTAAAAAGTGGTTCTAACGCATATAGCTGCATGTAACGACCTCAGATTTTTTCAGAAGAAGTGTTAGGAGTGAAAATTTAGTTTACAATTCATATTTCTTTAGAACAGCCGTTTTACGGCAATTTTTGGACATTAGATTCTCATACAAACACCGTAATTTCTCACGCGGTTGCCTACTCGTCAAAACCGTGATAAGGCCTATATTTTCCAAGTTAATACGCTCGATACTGCTAAATTTATGTTTCGCTACCACAATAATCTGCTTACCAAAGGACCTAGAATATGGAACTGTCCTCCTGCATGTTACAAACTTGTCAAGCTTTTCTATCTTTAAGAACAAAGTGCTACAGTTTTTATTAAAATAGTTACTAAATTAGTTTAGCCGCACTTCTTCTGAGCCCTTATCGAGGGTGCTAATGGGGGTACCCATTTCTCAGTTAACTACTATTTTTTCGGCCAAAAATTAGTTAACTACTACTTTTTTGGCCAATTCTCAGTTAACTACTAATTTTGGTTAGCTGTGAACTTTCACTTTCCTACAGCGCATATTATTCCGTCATAACCTGAATTTTACTTCAGCACGTCAATCAATTTTGGGGGTAGACCCTACTAAATTCAGGTCTAGACTTAAATGAATTGACATAAACTCCGCCACTATAGTACCGTTTATAAGTAACTGAAAATATAGAAATTAAAAGAACATAATTATCTTACCGAAGTAGTAAAAATGGGTAAGCGATAGCTATTAAGACTCCTATTACCCAATTTTTGCTGTAAGTACAAATAGGCCTTATCACGGTTTTGACGAGTAGGCAACCGCGTGAGAAATTACGGTGTTTGTATGAGAATCTAATGTCCAAAAATTGCCGTAAAACGGCTGTTCTAAAAAAATATGAATTGTAAACTAAATTTTCACTCCTAACACTTCTTCTGAAAAAATCTGAGGTCGTTACATGCAGCTATATGCGTTAGAACCACTTTTTAAAATTTTCTATACATTTGCCTGTAAACGTTTCCCGGGAAAAAAATTGCAGACAAATAGGTGGAAAATCCTGAAGCAAGCGTCTGGAGAAATTTAAGCACAGTAACGGCCCCCAAAATTTGAAAGTAAAATCCTTTGCTGTGTAGCTTTAGTTTACAGTTCATATTTTTTTCAGAATAGCCGTTTTACGGAAATTATTCGACATTAGATTCTCATACAAACACTGTAATTTCTCACACGGTTGCCTACTCGTCAAGATGGCGTCGAAAACCGTGATAAGACCTATTAGATTAAGTCGTATAACCATCAACGTACATCCAGACGCACCGGTCATGATCTCGTACTGATCTTCCCGACGTGGTCATGCATGTCCTGCTACAAACTTCTTCAAAGTCACCTTCTTCGTCACTTTCAGTTCATCATCTGAATCAGTCTCGTACTTAACTGGTTGCTGTATATCCTACCTAAGTTTCAATCCATTTTCAATCCTTGCAATCCACTGCAACAGACAGACGACGGGAAACAATATCAATGCCAAAATATCGTCTTAAATAACAAGACTGGACCAATATTTTTGGCATTCAATTGATGCAAGAAAAAAGTTTTAGCTTTTTAAAAAGATAGCAAATAGCATGACATAGTCCCGTGACTCTGGTGGTTAAGATCCCGCTTTATCTTGAGTTGATTGGCTTCTTATAGTTCGTTGTCAAACAGGTCGAAAGGTCTCTATCCAGTCCCTCATTACAACTTCATCTTCTTTTGTCACTGTTTGCACCGATGGGAGAGACAGTTGAGACTGCTGACAAAACCATGAAAGTATTTGTCCTCTTCGAATTCCTAGTTCTTTTAAGCGATTCTTTCACTGTGTTTCCAAAGTCTTCGGCGTAGTTCAAAGCACTAAATGTTTTGTGTTGAAGTGAGAAATCGCGTGTAGGTTTTCCACCTGCGTTGTCAGAAGTTTTTTTTTACCTCGATACAGACTTTGTCGACATCCTCTTACGCGTCCCTCAATGTTACCTTTACAAACATTGTTTCTCGTAAGTAGAACTTCCATGTACTTAAAAAAAAAAACGCTGATTTTTTTGAGCCATCAGAACTTCTTTTTGGCCAGGTCTAATGCCTGGTAAGAGTCACAGCTTTTTTCTTTGGTTAGCAATGTTTAACTTGACGACGATCTTTGAGTTGTCTACACCCAGCTCTATGACTGACGCTTTCTGTTTGCCGGGTGCTACTCTGGTGCCTTTTTGTATACAGCTATTTCGAGAAAGGTTGTCGGAAAAAATGTGCACGCGACAACCCCGAAAGGTAATATGGGATATGATCAATGCACTGTTCCTAACGACTGTAGCTGTCGAACCTGCTTTTGTTGCTTTCCATTAGCACTCGCGAACATATGTCCGTGGCCTCTCGTGCCATTCTTTCAAATTTCTTTGCAGAACAGGACAGAAAAAAACACCCAAAATACCTTTCGGGGTTGTCGCGTGCACTTTTTCCGACAACCTTTCTCGAAACAGCTGTATACTAAAATCAGTTAATGTGCCACCAGGTCATAAGTGGGACAGAAGAAAGTCAGAAAATAGCATTTCTGTTTGGAAAACTTTGCTACTTTCATTAACATTAACGATCGTATTCAGTATAATTAATAGAATCTCACTTAACTGTTAACTTTTCATTTCTCAGTTAACTACTAATTTTTTTGGCCAATTATCAGTTAACTACTGTTTTCTGGGCCAAATATCAGATAACTACGAACCCCACTGGCACCCTCCAGGGGCGGATCCAGGATTTTTGTTAGGAGGGGGTACACCACTAACTGACTGATGACGTAAAAAATTTTAAAAGCGAATACGAAGAAGAGGGCTTTTGACTAGGAAAAAACATAATGTGAACTGCTGAGAATACATATCAAACGATAGAGCAGATTTTGTATGTCTGTCAAGCGACTGCACAGTGTTAATTAGAAAGCGGCCGCAGGTCATCCAAGGGGGATGCGCACCCCCTGCACCCTTCCCCTGGATCCGCCCCTGCCCTCTTATTTCTTATTATATTGTGATGTCGAGGTGGCCTCTCTATATAAGCCTGGTGGTTTCTTGAGGTCTCCTCGCCTAACATTTGCTGTAAAAAAAAGGCTAATAAAATGATGATGAAGCGATTTTACAAACGAGACCCTGCGTGCACGTCACCAAATTTATCTCGATTAATCACGGCTTAAGTCCCTCATGAAAATTTCCTTAGAATGAGTTACTATCGACCTTCTTCAAACCCGAGGATTGTTTTGTTTGTTACAACAATGAACCACAAAGCAAAGCTGTCTCAGTGAATAACAAAAGAAAATATTTTTCTTCTCGGACGTGTCCGAGCGGACGCAGTTTTTCGTCATCGCTCACGGGTACCCTCGTCCGAGCTGATGCATCCATTGCGTCAGTTTCGCATTTGCATTGTTCGCTCAGTTCTGGCCTGCACTGTACCCCCATTATAAATGTTACAAACACATCCTGCTCCAATGCCCCAATGCCCCAATGAATGCTACAAAAGCTGTAAAAACTATAACTGTCCAACCCCCAATGCCCCACGAATGAGTTCAAAAAATTAGTACAAATTGGTAGACAATAATAGTCATCATTATTCTTTTTATGTACAGTAATTATATTGTAACACTTAAAACCCTTTGTCCTGTAGGCAGAAAGCTCATTGTAACTATGACCCTAAAGAATGTTACACTGAATGATGACAGTACGTTTGGTGCACTGGGAAGGTACGAGTGTCATGCTTTTGCACAAGGAGACCCTTTAGAGAGGAGACATGGATTTAGTGTCAGTGTCATTTTAAGTAAGTACAACTGTATCTTGTTTTAGGAACATCATTTTGTGTATCATCATTTTATATTGTGCATTGCTCATTGTAAATAATATAGTCAAACCTAGCTCCTGAAAGCGACAGCCCAAAATGCCAAGGTTTAGTGGTCGCTCACACGAGGTGGTCACTTGGAGAATCAAACTAATGGTGTCTCTTTCGAGAAGAGTTTCCGACACATCTCAGGAGCCTATCAAATGGAGCCTCCATCTCCCATACAAGCCCTTGGAGTCAACCCTTTCCCGAGTAGATTTATAATTAGACCGGTTCCCAGGGGAGACTTCGCGCGCCGACGGTGGGAAGAGCCAATCACAACGACTAAATGACACTGCTATTGTACTTCATGAAACAGCAGGAAATCCGGTGCTGACAGGCCAAACAAAATCATAAGCTAGTGAAACGTGACTTTAGCGTTTTCATCCCTCAGAGATTTTCTTTCTTTTCTTTCTAGCGGGTAGATTATACTGTGGAGAGTTTTAAAGTCTGACTATGTTAATCTTAATTTTGGTTGCTTGTCTCACATTAAGCTGGTCTGTTACATGCGTTAGGATTAACTACTACCTGCAGTCTGTAGTTCTGACAGGATTCGTTTTCTTTAGCCAATTTTTTGAGCGTTAAGGTTCTTATTTCGGCTAAATGACTCAATATTAATCAAATTTCTAGTTTTTCAAGTTTTTATCCGAAATGCGTTTGTCTGAATGAATACTGTGGTTGTTATGTCCGTCAGTTAGTGTGATGATTCCCTGCTATGTTTTGTAACGCCGAGCCCAGCCATTGTTTTCTCGTAAAAAAGTGATCTACAGATGCGAATTCGAAGGAAAGAATTAGCCTAAACTTCTACATTAATTGCTCAGAATTCTCCCGTTGGTCAGTCATAATTCTTTGGGCGCAGATACAATCCATTTTGTTTTTCTTGAGATAAGAGGGTCTTTGGACTGGAGCGCGATGTCACAAATTCCACCGTTAGCAAATTACTTTTGAGTTAGCTTCACGGTCGAGCAACTGTTGTCTTCTGTTCAACTTTTCAAGTGCCAGTTTTATCAGGCAACTCTCATGGTGATACAAGTCAGTTGTAAAGGAAGACTGCAATTTTTCTGAAGCATTCCTCCTTAGTTGCTACTTAGCTCATCGCTTTTGCACGCGGTGCTTAACTGGCGAAATCCACTCCACGGCGATGACAAAAATAAATGATCCTGGCACTTTTTCGGCGCTGATCATCGAAAAGTTTCAAATCGTCCACAGAACGCTTAATCGTCGACTCTTTTCAAGGTGCATGCTTAAATGTGGGATGTATGACGGCAAAAAAAAAAACAAAACAAAAACAAACACTCGCAAAGAACCTTTCCGTGATCCTCAGTTCGCTTCCTTTGTCCCATCGCTTCATGCTCAGTCTCGGTCGGGTAATTCATTAACTTTTATTTCATCCCAGATCCCAGCGGCTGTAAAACTGTAAAAATGGACGTATAGTAAAAAAGGAAAACGGTCGAAGGACGGGCTTCTGAGTTCGACTTCATCCAACTTCATTTTTTTCACGGTGACATACGAGACTCACGGAAATATGACACTTTTCGCGGGAAACAAGCCGTTCTATTTATAAATCTACTCGGGAAAGGGTTGACTCAAGAAATTAATGGAGATGGAGGCTCCATTTGATGGGCTCCTGACATCTACATTTTGGCAGAGAATTTATTGCACGCAATTTGTAAGCTACATCTGCTGTGCATGTAGTTTCATGTTCCACTGATAGTTGTTCGTAGTGGTGTAGTACAAACCGCGTAAAAAAGAGCCAGAACACACCATGAGTCAAGTGGTTGCTTACAGAAGGTTAAACAAATGTAATTAAAACGCTAGGGCTTCGAGTGGCAAAATTTTGGTGTTTGGATAGATGGTCGCTTATAGGAGGTGGTACGTTGCTAACAAGTGGTGGTCGCACATCATTGGAGGTTCAGTTGTAGTAACCAGTGCAATGGTAGACTTTACATTGATGTTTTGTACAATTGTTATCGTGATTGAAAGTGTTCTGGTAACAATCCATCAATCACGAACAAATTCAGTTATCCATAACGATTGTAACAGTTCATCAGTTTCTTACATTGTTGGAAGGATAGTTCTTACAATCTCTTGTAACCTTCTTTTTTCTTTTCCTCAACAGTCATGATTATACTCCCCCGAGTCTTTTTTTTTTCATTGTCTAATAAATTGTAAGAAATAATAAAAATCTGTAATGTGAGTGATTGTTACGTTAAAACTTGTCTCCAGGTTCTTTGTACTGTAAATTATGATTATTATCCAAAGTTAAAAATAACATTATTAATTAATGGTGTTTCAATCTGTATGTTATTGTATTTCTTTTCTTTTCTTTTTTCTGTGTAATTTAATAACGTCTTTATTTAAAGTCTTGTCCTGCCTAGATTAGCAGAATAGCTATTTGCAGGACATAAGGTATTGTAAACGTTATATTTCTTTAAATAAATACATTGTTGTTGTTGTTATTATGGTGGCTATACTGGAATTCTCCATTAGTCACTTCTTGTGATATATCACTGTATGTACAGTATTTGGAGGCATACCAATATCAAAGTGTTGAAAACACAAATAAATAATATATAATAGGCTTTATTTAAAGAGGGTAAAACTCTTAACAGTAGTCCTAAGACACTGATGACTCTGTGGCCCGCAAAACAAATTACAAATATAGATTCTACAACTAAAAACTATAAAATATACCATTTTCGAAGATAATTTAAGATAAATGTGATAGATAATTTCTAAAAAGACATTATGGCTAAGATAGATAAAAGCAACATAAAACTTATATACAATTACAGTCTAAGGAGGATCGCAGCCTTTTGTTCAGCTAGAAAGGATTTAAAAACGTTATGCTTAAAACTTGCTAGCGAGCCATTATTTCTTATATTGGTATTCATGCAATTCCAGTCCTTTATAGTCCTAGTAGTGAAAGTAAGACCTCTTTCTGTTTTTCGTCTATAATTGGGGCACACCAAATTTATGTTTGAATGTCTAGTGGGCGCTTATGAATTTCTGAATTTCTGACTAATAGACTATTCAAATAAATAGGCGCGATATAATTGTGGACCCGCTTATACACTAGTGCGCATCTCTTTATTAGAGATTGTTTAGTAAAAGAAAAAAAACAATTGGAATTGTCAGTTTGCTTGCTTGCCTGTTACAATCATTAGCCTGTCATTCTATAAGTACGTAATATTTTTGCGGCTATAAGGCGCACTCGGTTATAAGACGCAACCCAAACTTTTCAACGCAATTTTTCTAAGTTAGCAAACTGAAAATTGTATTAAGCCAAAATACCCAGCTATAAGGTGCAGCCGCGATTTTTGGCGATTTTCACTTTAACTACAACAACCCGCTGTCCAACGATGCTGATTACGGCCATTCGTCTATGTGAACAAAAGCGAAAAAGGCTACATATTTCAATCAAAGATTAAAAATCACACCTATCAACACAAAAGCATTGTTTTCTAAAGCTGTGAATACTTAGGGAATCCGTTTTTGTTCCATAAACAAGGCAGCTTTCCTGTTTGCGGCATACATGTATTGACATCGGTACATGCATCGGTTTAAGCATCAACTAGATAAAATCGATCGCGTAATTAATACATAAGCCTGAATATTTTGTTAATTAACTGCCAAATATGGTAAAATTAAACCCTTGTTTATCAAAATAACTATGATAAAAGAGCTCTCACAGCTCTAGTAACCCTGGTACAAGGGGGGTGGGGGGAGTTGATGGAACCCCTCCCCAGAGTTTTTGATATGTTGCAGTATTTCGAAACGATTTTGCCTTCAGTGGAAAGCGTTTGATCTTCTCAACAAGATGAGGTATGTTTTATGGGTGGTGGCGCTGCTGGAGGCTTTTGACGTCAACAAAACAATGGTCACCATCTTGGCTGCCATCTTGGATTTTATCAAGAATTAGAAATCAGGTTAAAATCACGATAAATGGTAATTTTCTTTGCCTGACATGTAAAGTAACACAAAAATAAGCACTTCGCATCATTTTATTTACCGGCTTTACTTTTATTGTTGAAAAAAGTTGAAAAAATATCATTTTCACTTGAAAATGGCTTTACCACCAGCCACTTGTTACGTCATATCTCGTAACCATAGTTACTGACCATCAATAAACTTGTCTCAAAATGCGGGCGAGGGATAGACGAACAGCAACTGAAAACGTGAGGTGCTGATGTTTTATTGTCTAGGAAAAAAATGTAAAGAACCTCAGAGGGGGGTGTGAAAACTGTATTGTTTGTTGGAAGCCGCAAGAAAAAGTTGTATCTCCGAGAGTTAAAAAAATTTAGAAGCTTTCTTTAGAAAATAAAGGTCTGAAACAAGCGCTAGATCGCAGTGTAAGAATGACTTAAACATTTGCCTGGTTACCAAGCATCAACATTCAGTTCAAAAACGATCGATGCTAGACGATTTGTTTCGAATGCAAAATGATTTGTTTGTCGTTTAATACCAGCTTTAGAAGATGTAGAAGTCATTGAAAACCGATAGCAAAGAAGAGGATGAGCAGCTAGAGCTTTTGCATATTTTGTTTTGTTGCTCACCACGCAAATACAACAGATTTAGAGCTAGTGAGCAAACTTTCGTTGAAAAAATGCTGCAGTTTGCAAGCGAAGAAATACGGGACATGTACATGTAAGAAACTACTGTTAGAACCCCGTTAACTCCAATTCTGAAGGAAAACGAAAAACAGTTGGAGTTAGCGGGGGACTTTTCAGGCCTTTTTCTGGGTAGGGATTTCTGTAGGGAAGGGAAATCTGTCATTTTAGTCTGTTATAAAAAGCAAAAAAGGGCCAACAGATGCATTTTATGGCTGTGAAAAAGTCGAAAAATGTTCTTGTATTGTAAATTATTGATATTATTGATAAAGACAGTGCATTTACAAAGTTGAAAACTACATGTATGGTTTGTGAAAGGGGTACCTTTCATCAATAGAAGGTAATACAAAAGGGGTACATGTAGCTTTTCTGTCATAAATGGTATATAAAACGGTAAGGGGTCAGACCTCAGGGCGTGGTCTCCCCATAAAAACCTTTATTTAGTAAACCCCTTCCCCCCAACCCAGGGTTTTTGGGTGGCAAAAGCCACGGTTTGGAGTAGATGGAGAATGAAAAAAATCACGGCAAAGGCGCGAGTTTCTGGGAAAATTTTAAAATCTGAGCCTCTTAGAATGCATTCCCAGAATTCTGGAGCAAAAATGAGAGTGTTTGAACGGAACACAGACATCTTTAAATTTTGGCTTTTTTAGGGGTAATTTTCAAAGAAAAGTAGACGACGAGTTCACGTGAATTTAGCAACCACCGTCTCTTATTGAACCCCCGCCCCTGGATGTGTCGAAAATGGGGTAACATGTAAATGGAAAATACAGAATCTTGAGACTGATGCATGAATTTGAAGAAAAATAGAAAAACTTGACTATATGTACATGTTGTATTATTAAAACACGTGACATAAGTCTTCTAGTTGGTAGAATAATTGTTTTGAATTCCACTTGTAATATTTTTTATCATGTTTTTTTTTTTTTTAAGTGTTCCCATCATGTCATGGTATTAGCAAGTGTTTTGTTTTATCCCTTAATGGCCCGGTTAAAATGTACCGAGTTCAATAACTCCTATTTTGATCAAATAATAAAAATAATTAAATACAGCAGTTGATTCAGACGTCGGATTCAATGGTGCCGATTTTACTCCTTTTGCTGTAATTTGTTCCCAGTATGTAGGTAGGTAGAAACTTTATTTAATGACAGTAACACATGACAGTAAACACTGTTGTTATATTCCTAGACTTTCACTGGACTAAACAGGGACAGCCATTGGCTGATACTTGGTCACGTGGCCTTGACTAAAATAAAATGTATCCCGATCGTGATACATCAAGCAATGTACCTCGCTCGGGATACATTACAGCACGTGATCAGAGCATGGTAGAAAGTAGCGTGACAGAAGGCTGGAAAAACATTGCCAGTTCTCTTTTTCGTGAATAAACACAACAACATTCACAAGAACACAAACATGAAGCCTCAAGCTAAAAAGCAACGATTTTCAAAGTTATCCCAGAAGAGAAACAGCAGCTAGTGGAGGAAGATGCAGATAATATAAGGAAAGTACTTTTTAAATCATTCATTCAGTGGTTTTGAGAATTAAATTTGTGTTCTTATAAGTACCGAGTCGTACTGTTTTGATTCGCTCCTCTTAAGCGTATTCTTTTGTTGCTGTTGAAGTACGTTGAAGTGAAAGTCTAGAAATGTAACAAAACACTTAATGTCAGGTCCTTCGGGAAACCAGTTAGTTTTGTTTTCCCTCGAGTCCTGATCGGAAAACATCAGGACTCTTGGGAAAACAAAACTAACTGTTTCCCTCGGGATCTGACATAAAGTGTATAATGAGCTAGTGGCCCTCAATCGTAATTAAATTATTTAGAACTAATAAAAATAGACACGACGAATTAAAATTTAAAAATATATAATGCAAGATACAATCCTAAATTTACGATATTAAAAACTATTAAGATAAACAAAGCGAATTTAAAAATACTATAAGAAAAGAAAAAGTGATTTGTACATTAGAATTTAAAAATAGTCTTTAAAACAACTTGTTATCCAGTATGGATAATAGTTTCTATGATTAATGCATGATACAGACAATCAACTCTCGCCTTGTAGACTTCCAGCTATAATGGACATCTCCATAATATGGACAGCAGCTAAATCCCAGGCAAAAATAAATCATAGATGTTTGACTGAAATAACCTCTCCCTATTATCGACTCTCGGATGAGGACACTAACTCAAGGTCCCTGCAGTGTCGGCTATAAAGGGACTTGACTGTACATATATCCGGCACATGTGAAATGTGACGTCTGAATCAAATGTCTTACCTAAGTTGAATCTCTGACTCTTTCAGTCACAGATTCGGCAGATTCGTATTTAATTTTAAACGGCCAAATTTAATTGATTCAGACGTCGCGCTCACATGCGGTTAATTCACAAATTAAAATTGACAAATATGAAATTCGATGTTTGAACTGGGCCTAAGTCCCAATAAAAACGGGGGTAAAGGTGCAGACGAACCAAAGGCCTAGACGGCCCAAGCTTATCCCGGTTGCATGCCACATACAAATTCTCCAAGCTGGTCTCTATACATTTCTCTAAAGAATTATAATTTGAGAGTTCATGAAAGACCAAAACATTATATTTTTATTAACTGATCTCAAAATCTTTTGTACTGATAATAATTGTGAGGAAAAAAATGGATTGCTGTCATTCTTTGGATTTAAAGGGTTAAAGGACAGGGTTGCCACGGTCAGGGAAAAGTCAGGGAAAAACAAAAATTTTTCAAGGTGAGGGAAAAGTCAGAGAATTTTCTAAGCGAAAAGAGGTTGAAAACAAAGAGAAAAATATCGATGGCAAGTCAGGGAATTTTTAACTTTCTGGTGAGTGGTAACCCTGAAGGGGCTATATGTATATCATGTTATTTGCTGCGGTTTAAAAAGCTAAAACATGACTCAGCATCAATTGAATTCCAAAAATAATGGTTCTTTTTTAAGACCATACATTAGGCATGAAAACAGTTTCCTGTCGTCTGTTGCGAAGGATGGAAATGATGGACATGGATTGAATCTTGAAAAAATTGGGGAAATTTTTTTAAGTTTTAATGCTACGCCTCCAAAAATCACCAAAGAATAGTAATAATTATACATGTAGCAATATGGTTTGTCGTTCCTGATAGGATTTGTTTGACATCTTCTTAATTCATATCTCTATAGAAGTATTTTGTGTATGGGTGAGGACAGAGTAAGTAATGAATTAAGCACAAAATTGACAGTAATACATGTTTCTTAGAGACAAACCCCTTTAATTATTCCTATCTTCTTTATCTATGTAACAAGCAAGTCTGTAAAGAGTAAAACAAAAAAACAAAACAAAACAAAAAAACCTGAAGAAAACATTGAATTTATTTTAAAACAACCATGTCAACCATGTATTCTTTGTCTTTTATACATTTTTGTAGTCAAGTTCAATTATAGTGTCTAGCCCTGTATAAAGTGATCAAGCTTTGTTGTTGAATTCCTTTTTCAAAATATCATTATAACTTTTGTTGCTCCTAAAGTATAGTACTGTTGCCCAGTATCCGGACGGTACCAGTATCCGGACACTTACAACAAAAACTCAATTTTTGAGGCGCCGTTTTCAGTTACCTGTAAACAAAGTATTTCGAATGAAAGCTGAACATTTCGGCTTTAAGATGAAGGTTTTGGCGAGTTGAAACCTGGCGAAACAGTCGCAGAAGACGCCGTTCTGTTCAGGTGAATAAACATTTCACGGCTAATATTTACGCTGTTTACTGCGCAGTAAAATTAGTGCTGCTCAGAAAAGGGTAGGGAATATGTGATATTTTCAAAGAAACGGTTTTATATTGAAATTAAAGATACTTAAAGAAGTCAGGTTCTCAGAAAGTTTATTAATTCTTCTTGAAATTCGATTTGTTTGGAATAACGAAGCCAAAAAACATTCACTAAGTATTGATGTCAGGTGCCCAGTATCCGGACAGTTTTTTCTTTGCTGTACAGAATCGATGAATTAGTCGCGTACATTATCCGGATAAGATTTATTTCATATCTGTAACTATAATTAAAGCTTAGGATATATGATATAGTCGTAAAATGTAATTCTACTCAACTCCGTACGGAAATTTTCTTCACTCATTCGGAGGCGACTTGATTTCGTGTGCGCCGCTTGTTTCGCGTGACTGCATTTTCTATATATAAACCGAAAGCGTTGGAGTTGAACCTGGAATTCTCATACTTTCCCCAGTTGTGACTGCTAGAATAGGGTTGCAACGGTCTGAAAAATGTCACAAAGGGATTGAGAGATGTGAAAGAAGGAGGAATTAGTGCTAGAAAAGCAGACTTACTGTAGGGTCTGTAGGAGCTGAGCATGAAGAAATCAACACTGCAGGTCAGACTAAATAGGAGAGTGACCTTTGACCGTCGCATTGAGGTCCCTTCCCCAAGCTTTTTTTAAAATAAAAAATGAAGAAAAAAAAGTCGTTTGCAGATTGGCTAATTGAGCTAGCAAACCGCGGCCTCGGCATGTCCACGGATGTCTTCCTTAAATCAGGGAAAAACTTCCTAGACAAGGAAGTAAGAATTATGCCATTTAACAGTAATCTCTCGCATTCCCCACCATACCACAGTCATTTGTTATGTTTTATTTCACGATGCTAGGTTATATTTTTGGAATCGATTGCCAGACTACTTTGCAAGTGCAAGAGAAGCTTATAAGTCGCTTGCTTGACGAAATTTATGTACAATTACGTTGTTATTGTTGTGTCCGGATACTGGGCCAGCTGTCCGGATACTGGGCAACATAGGAGCTCTGCAAAAATATTAATTTCGCCATGGAAACAAAGGCAAAAAGTTTTAACTGTCTTTCGTCATATTAAGGACTAAATAGATTTTCTCTGGGCCAAATTTCAGAGCTCTTGCGACTAACAAAGGAAAGTTATTGCAATGTTAAACTAAAGTGTCCGGATACTGGGCAACATACTGTAAACTTTGCATGATACATGTACACTGTACTTGCATTGCTTCCCCATCCTACTTCCTTATTTTTGGTTATTTGCTTCTCGCTCCCGATAACTGGAATTTTTTTCGATTTCTGCAGAAGGTTTGAGTCACCACAAGTTGACTGTACAACACATGAAAGGGGGATCTTTTGCCTGGTCTTAAAACCACTGAAACTACATGTATGGATAATGTATTAGGGGCAATGGACAGAAATTATAGCTTCATGCATTCTTCCCTTTTTATTTGCTTTTTTTCTCTTTAGGAGAGGAAATTCCAAAAGTGAAAGTGCCTCAAATCCGTGTGTTGAGACATGGTGAGGGCACCACATTCTCATGTAACCTGACTAGAAATCCAGGCAAAGCAACACTATTGAAAAGAATTTCTTGGTACAAAGATGGGATTTTGCTGGAAAGTATCAGATGTCCTGACCCAGATAAGCCCTCAGACACCCTTAGGCCGCTTGTTCTTAAAAATATTGGTGTTAGAGATGGAGGAAACTACACCTGCTTTCTGGAAGTGGCGCTCCGCTATATCAGAATGTACAATGTGTCTGATAGCACCATGGTTGAAAGTAAGTCCACTGTAGACTGACCCTGATGGAGGGTTAGCCCTTGATTGCAATTACAGCCATCTCCCATCATTTTCCCCTGCCAGCTGGACATTCCACAGGAGAGATTTCTGTTCCTCAATGACAGAGATTCCATACTGATGACGTAAAATCTGTCTGGAATCTGTTTAGGATTTCTGATTAGTTGCCGCGGTATCTACATCAGTCTGTACATGTACGTAGTACATGTGATGTAGCTATTGCCAATGACAGACAATAGACAATAGATGTAGCTATTGCCAATGACAGACAATAGACAAAAGATCGCAAAGGTCATTAATGTAAGTTACCTGTACTTGATCAATCTAGAACAAAGAGTCATTATATATTTGAGGAATACATGTATATTTTTCTTTAAAAATTTTTTTTCAAGTTTTGCAGAGGCAAATGTACATTTGGAACCCCATGACTACCAGATAAATAATGTTGTATATTCTGTTATACAATGTACATGTATATAAACATTGATTTACATCGCCAGCATGGCATTTTGGTTATTGCTCAAGGTGAAGACCTTCTCTCCTGCATAACACTTAATTCGTGACTGTAGCAGTGCGTGGCAGTGAGTAGTGAGAAAAGATGGCTGTACTCGCAGGCAAGGCTAGCCTGTAAAACATTTAACTCTTTTTACAGTGGTAAATGAATTGACTTTATTGACTCAGTTGATAAAAACAAATTTTAGGGTACAAGCTGTTATGTCCTTACGTAGATTAATTTTTCAGTATTTAGGGCTTTTATTACAGAACTTAGGGTAGGCCCTGTTCGCACTAAGCAAAATTTAGTAGGTTTTGTCAAAAGATAAGCCTTTCCTAGTGCGAACGATTTTTTTCACCTACCAAAATTTTCTCAAGTGCCACCAAACTTCAAAGCTGCCATCAAGAGGATTTGGCAGTCTACGATGTTTTCATCAGGACTCGAGGGAAAACAAGACTAACTGGTCTCCCGAGGGAACTGTTATTAAGTGTTTTGTTATATTTCTAGACTTTCACTTCAACAGCAACAAAAGAATAACGGGACCGAACCAAAACAGTCGACTAGCTACTTATAACAACACAAATTTAATTCTTAAAACCACTGAATGAATGATTAACAAAGTACTTTCCTTATATTATCTGCATCTTTTTCCTCCAGTAGCTGTTGTTTCTCTTCTGGGATGACTTTAAAAATCGTTACCTTTTAGCTTGAGGCTTCGTGTTTGTGTTTAAATTGTTGTGTTCATTCACAAAAACGAAACTGGCAGTATTTCTCCCGCCTACCGTCACACCACTTTTCACAATGTTTTGATCACGTGCTGTAATGTAACCCGAGCGGAGTACATTGCTTAATGTATCACGATTGGTCAAGGCCACGTGACCAAGAATCAACTAATGGCAGTCCCCGTTTAGTTGAGTGAAAGTCTAGGAATATAACAAGAACTTTAATTTGTTAAATAGTTGGAAATTTTGTCCCAAAACTGTGCGCTCTCATTGGTTACCTCGAGGTCACATGACATCTAACAATGAAACTGTTTCCCGTTGTTTCCCGCAAAAGTCTTTGAGCGGGCAACATTGCAAAATCTATGACGTCAGAGGGTAACAGTGCACTATTATTCGCAAATGTTGACCAACGACCGCCGTTACAGCGAGGTTTTAATGAATTTCGAGCTGCATAAAAAAATCACTTATAAAAAGTAGATGTCTCTCGAGGGACCAGTCATTAAGTGTTTATTATCGAATATGCAGACATTCCTGAGATATTCTTGCTTGCCAACAGTTACTCCAGGGTTCAACAAGCCAATGCAAATTGTTATCCTTACGATTATAAAAGGAGAAAATGCTTTGCTTGAGTGTGGGGCCCAAGGGCTTCCCCTTCGTGTTGAAGTCTCAGAAGAAAGGAGAGGACTTCGAGACCAAAATGTAGCATAAACAGATTTTTTTAATTTATAGTTGCGATAATCAGTGCAATATAAGACATGCAAACTTTAATTGTATATCTTTCTGACCCGTTCCTGGGTCTGACGCTCGGTTGCAGTCCCTTGTTAGCCAAAGTGACTAACTGGGTGGCTCTGATTTTTCCTCCTCTCGTCTTTTTCAAAACGCTTGCCACCTAGGCTACCATTATTTGGTGACTAAAATATCACGGCAAGTCTCTTGTTTTGGGAATTGTAAAAACCTTTGAGGAGACTGTAATTTTTATCTTTATACTTCCAAAAATTTTAATATGACTGACGTTAACGACAACGAGAAATAACAATAAGTTTATTTCTACTGTATTCAAATAACTAAAAGAATTTACAAAAACTATAATTATCAGGAACAATACTAACTATACTCGAGAGCCTATAGCTATATAATATGTTAGAGCATTTATGCTACTTACAGAGACGCTACAAGACGTGTGTCGTACCAGTATGAGCCGACGTAACAGATTAGCATCACCTCAGTTAACTATTTCTAAGTACATGGAACAACTATCCTTTTAAAACTTTTTAATCAACTTTACCTAATAGCGTCAGTATTGTTTTCCTGATTTCCAACAGTTGCTCCGTGGTTCGACAAGTCAACGGAAGTTAGTAAAGTTACCATTGTGGAAGGGCAAGACGTTTCTCTTGCGTGCGCGGCCCAGGGATTTCCACTTCATGTTGAATGGAAGCTTCAGAAGGATAGCGAGGACTTCGTACGGTCCTGCATAAGTGAGATCATATGTTTTATAAAATTAGAGAAATTTATGTAGTTGTACGTTAATCTGGGTAAAGCTTTATTAGCTGCCAAGCAATGAAAATCGACACCAACGGGGGCAAACAATGATTCAAATAAGTGGTGAAGAGCTGGACTCTTATAGGTGTTTTTATTGAGCACATAACGATCTTTCTTGTTAAAGCACGTGCACAATGCCTAGAGAACTATTTGTTTTAAGAAAAATGGGAAATGAACATTCCACAACCAAATTAACCGATTGCTTTCAGCATTTTGAAAATTTCATGTGGGCTTCACAATGTTGTGTGTTAAAATTGTGGGAGTGTCCTTTTTGTGTACCACAAATTGAGCTTTCACTTTGTTTTTTTTTTTCCTCTAAGATGGCTCAGATGGAAAATACCATGTTCATCGCAGCGGAATTTACGATCCTTATGTGCTGACTGTATCTGATGTGCGGTATGCTGATCTCGGATCTTACTACTGTTGCCTTCCGTCTAACTGTTCGGGCAATATCCAAGATAACTGCCAACACTTTGTTCTCCGAGGTGAGAGCCTCAGTTCAAGTATAGCTGCAATTTCATTATTTTTATTTGATTATGATAAACGAAATATTGATACTTGAATGAAGCGTAAGGTCTCTCATACCGCTATAGTCCTGGTTGATGCTCAGAGATGGAACATTCATGAGCGGAACAAAATATGATACACTATATATATATATAGAATACTTCATGGAGTGTGCGTATGCGATATTTACGCAGAGTTGTTGACGTATCAGAAATCGGCTGAGTGAACGGTCCCCTGATTGCCAACAACTCATTTGAGTCTGAAAGATTGCGACAGCTTTTCTATGAGTGTATCTCCGATGGCGCTTAGCAACGTTTGAGTATTGTTTCCAAGACTAAATAACCCTATTTTGCGTTTTGAGCAGAGCTGTACACTTTTTCAACATTCTAGCAATACTTCACACTTCCAATAAATAAATCCAGCAAAAATTGCTTGTTTTCTGTGAAACATCAAATTTTTATTAGCTTAACTGTGCACTTTTGATATGTCTTTTTTCCTATCTTTTGCTGCGCACTACTAGTTTTTTGGTCTTCGGGAAAACTGTTGCTGTCATGGAAAAGCATGTGGGCCTTTTCTCCTGCGCATGGAAACGTAAGAAGCCGACCATTTGACTTTTGAGGGGGGTATGTGTGATTTGGTTTGGGTAAAAAAAAATTCCCCAAACCTCTGGAGTTAGATTTTTTCCGGACATACACCTGATATGCCCGTACAGTGTAAGTATATATTAGGAAATGTTTCCCCTAGGTATTTCCTTGCAGGATTTTTTTCCCCTCGAAATCAGTCTTCAGGATATATTTTTTTCTGAAATCAACCGTACCTCCCCGCAAAAGTCAAATGGTTGACCCTAAGGTTTTTTAAAATAACAATATGCAAAATAGATTGTGAAATGACACGTGCTCGCAGTGGTTAGGGCTTCACGTCTCATCAGAGTGTCTAAACCTTTGAGTATTATTGGAAGTTAGTCTGTAACACTCAAAATTCACAACCGTCTGGATATCATGGCCAGGGCTGGACATGGCTCAGTTGACGGTGAAGCTGGCAAAAAGAGACCAATTTCAATATGTCCAAAGTCATACCTTGGGGGAATAAAATAAAAGAAATGTATTATCCATTGATGTGCCTCAAGTATGAATTTGAACAATAAATTGTTCTATAGTATTTAACATTTTCTTATATCCAAATCACTTTAACTGAAAGAGGTCAAAAAGCTTTTAAGAAAGGTTTCTATAAGAAAATCACGAAGTGCAAAAGCGGTCAACTGGTAATGTTTGCTTCCCCTCGTCCCCAGGGGTTTTCCCTCAAAAAATGGGTGGGGCTGGAAAAGTCCCTGGCATCGGCTGGTCACGTGTCCCCTCGTACACTCTAAAATCCTGGGTGTAATAATTTAGCGCCGTGTGAAAAGCTAAAATTATGCGTAACCTCACAACGCGCGATCTTGGGCGATCTTTTATATCCCTTGACGATAAACGAAAAGTTTTACAAGATTTCCTTTTTGTCACAGATACTGGCTATGGTATTTTTTTGCTTTTCTCCCTATTTCTATGAAGGGGACAGCGAGTAACATTTGTAAAACTCCTGTTTATAGAGCGGTATAAATGACAAAGCGTACATGCATAAAGGCTGTACTGAAAAAGTCTGCTTTCTCGACTCTTCTGATATTTTCAGTATTTCATTTCTTACGAAGTGGGCCACTGTACACAGCCTAGTTCTATTCACCTTAACTCTCAGCCATAATTATCATAGCGACACGCGTTGGTTTAGACTTATCCTGTATGACCCGTATTTTTAAAAAAATTCGTTGACCTCAGGCGATCAAACGACCGGCAACAAAGAAAGACTTAGGTCGATTTAAAATCGCCGGAGCTGTAGTTGATTCCAATCGATCAGTCAATCTTCCCTTTCATATAAGGAAAATCCTTTGTACTTATCCTCGGAAGGGAAAAGATACACAAGAGGTCTTCAAATGTTTCAGATCGGCGACCTGTCATCGTTCCTGGCTGGAGGGCTGACTTGCATCCGGCGCGGAGATTTGTTTGCTTCAAGGTCGGGTTGTAGACAACAACAGACTCCATAAGGCATTTTGATGAACAATTCTTTTTCATTAATTAAGTTCAATTTGTTTAAATTCACTGCAGATCCTGGAGGCAAAGGCCCGCATTTTTGTTTGACATTGGACAAAATCACTTTCCGCTTGATCGTACAGTAATTCCACAGTCACGATGAAGTTCAGTTGAAGTACTAGTCGATAGTAACAGCTTGTCTCAACTTTGAAGCATTTGACATATTTTTTACGTGACAACCTAGAGCCGGTACGCCCTTTCATAAACTTCTGGCATTTGAATAATGCGCAGTTAAATGGATCTTAAGCTTTTGAATCGCACACACGCGAAAATATTGACATAGTTCGCGATGTTATTATTTTCCATTGTTACTCCCTTCTGTCAGCGCAAAACCAGCGGGCTGCATATAAACTAGCTTCGCAGGAATATTTAGACTGTACACGTGACCAGCCGATGCCAGGGCCTTTTCCCGCCCCACCCATTTTTTGAGGGAAAAGCCCTGGGAACGAGGTTGCCCTTAAAGGTTACGTTAACATGATACAGGTCGAATTTTCAAGCGGTTGAAAAATTTGACAGGACACTTCGTTCACACGGAACCGTTCAATATTTTTGCGCTGTTCACACGGAACTGTCGAGCCGTAATATTTCCAAGCAAACTAGTAATAACATGACTCGTAAATCCATGTTCGCAATATCTGGTTGTTATTTTGGTATATACTTCATGGTCGAAAGCCACAAGTGCATCGGTAATATACACTCTGTGTAATATGTAGTATTGTGTCTTCTAACTAATAGTCAGTAGTAGTAACTAGTAGTTACTAGTAGTTACTGGTACTTGCTAGCAGTTACTAGTAGTTACTTGTAGTTACTATTAGTTACTGGTAGTTGCTAGTAGTTACTGGTAGCTGCTAGTAGTTACAGGTAGTTACTAGTAGTTACTGGTAGTTGCTAGTAGTTACAGGTAGTTACTAGTAGTTACTAGTAGTTACTGGTAGTTGCTAGTAGTTACTGGTAGTTACTTGTAGTTACTATTAGTTACTGGTAGTTGCTAGTAGTTACTGGTAGTTGCTAGTAGTTACAGGTAGTTACTAGTAGTTACTTGTAGTTGCTAGTAGTTACTGGTAGTTGCTAGTAGTTACAGGTAGTTACTTGTAGTTACTATTAGTTACTGGTAGTTGCTAGTAGTTACTGGTAGTTGCTAGTAGTTACAGGTAGTTACTAGTAGTTACTAGTAGTTACTTGTAGTTACTAGTAGTTACTGGTAGTTGCTAGTAGTTACAGGTAGTTACTAGTAGTTACTAGTAGTTACTAGTAGTTACTAGTAGTTACTAGTAGCTACTGGTAGTTGCTAGCAGTTACTAGTAGTTACTTGTAGTTACTATTAGTTACTGGTAGTTGCTAGTAGTTACTGGTAGTTGCTAGTAGTTACAGGTAGTTACTAGTAGTTACTAGTAGTTACTTGTAGTTACTAGTAGTTACTGGTAGTTGCTAGTAGTTACAGGTAGTTACTAGTAGTTACTAGTAGTTACTAGTAGTTACTAGTAGTTACTAGTAGCTACTGGTAGTTGCTAGCAGTTACTAGTAGTTACTTGTAGTTACTATTAGTTACTGGTAGTTGCTAGTAGTTACTGGTAGTTGCTAGTAGTTACAGGTAGTTACTAGTAGTTACTAGTAGTTACTTGTAGTTACTAGTAGTTACTGGTAGTTGCTAGTAGTTACAGGTAGTTACTAGTAGTTACTAGTAGTTACTAGTAGCTACTGGTAGTTGCTAGTAGTTACAGGTAGTTACTTGTAGTTACTATTAGTTACTGGTAGTTGCTAGTAGTTACTGGTAGTTGCTAGTAGTTACAGGTAGTTACTAGTAGTTACTAGTAGTTACTTGCAGTTACTGGTAGTTACTAGTAGTTACTTGTAGTTACTAGTAGTTACTAGTAGTTACTTGTAGTTACTAGTAGTTACTTGTAGTTGCTAGTAGTTACTGGTAGTTACTTGTTATTACTAGTAGTTACTGGTAGTTGCTAGTAGTTACTAGTAGTTACTGGTAGTTGCTAGTAGTTACTAGTAGTTACTTGTAGTTACTGGTAGTTACTTGTTATTACTAGTAGTTACTGATAGTTGCTAGTAGTTACTGGTAGTTACTATTAGTTACCGGTAGTTGCTAGTAGTTACTGGTAGTTACTTGTACTTACTAGTAATTACTGGTAGTTACTAGTAGTTACTGGTAGTTGCTAGTAGTTAGCTATTTTCCAGCTGAGTAACCACGCATCTATGCAGCCACGCCTTTGCACTGCAAAAATTTTGCCGGTCACTGTAAAATTGTGCATTCAAAACAGTAGCAAAAAAGGTAACCAGTGTAGCTCGCGCAATAACTTAAGCGACCACAAGCATTTAGAGAACAAATCTCGTTTATAAATAGTAAATAAAAGCGGTCCGAGACAAGAAACTTCAAACGGCTGCGAGAGCGTCTCGTTTATGCAGATTCTTTGAGATCTCCCTTCCAAGTACGATTTGAACCAGGAACGAGCAGTAGCACAGACACCTAGTTTCTTTTGAAGCGATTGTAGTAAAATCCCATGGTCAACGGTGTTGAAGGCAGCACTTAAATCCAGCAGTAGTAAGAGTGATACATGGCCCTTGTCCATATTTATGAGTAGATCGTTCGTTGCCTTTAACAATGCAGTCTCCGGACTGTGATGGGAGCGCTAAGTAGATTGCAATTGAGGGAAGAGATTATTTGTAGTCATGTGAAACTGAATCTGAGAGGCCACCACACACTCTGTCAATTTAGACTCAAACTGCAATTTGCTTATTAGACGAAAATTTTTGAACAGTAGATCGAGGCCGGTCTTTTTTAATGATGGGTATACCACAGCAGTTTTCCAGGTTTCAGCAAAATATCCAGTCTGTAAGGAGAGGCTGACCATATTTGTAATGGCAAGAAGGACTCTAAACATGAAGATGCAAGATTTGTTCTTTCCCGATGTAATCATATGACGAACTGCCTCAGTCGCTTGGCATTGGAAGTGGGAAAATACAATATCACCAGATTCAGATTCCAGGTTGGGCTCGGGCGTTGACAGCAAGGATTTCGTCCAGCTTTGACCTGATACTGGTAATCTTGGCAATAAAAAACTGACGCATATTGTTTGCAAGAAGTGAAACAGAATGTGTGGAAGGGATCGATCTTTCTTCATATTTAATAAACTCTTACTTGCCACGAACAGCCTCCTCTGGCCTGTGCTGTTATCTTCAATAAACTGATTATAGTAAGCACGGTGTGCCTCATTCATTGAATTCACCACACGATTTCGTTCCTTCTTAAAAGCAGTAAGATCAACAGGTAATCTTGTAGCTCTCCACGTCTTTTCAGCATTTCGTCTCAAGCCTTTGGCATTCCTAATATCTTCATTGAAACACACAGCAAGAGGCCTGACATTATTGTCACGAGTTAAGACAGGTGCATACATGTCCAGTTGAGATCGTAACGACTCATTATAATAACAGCCGACTAGAGAGTCTAAGTTGTTAGGTGGATCATGATTACGCTGAGAAGAAGAAATTGCCTCAGAAAATTGGTCGGGGTCAGTTGATTTCATTTTCCTGAACTGCACATTGAGGTCTGTCAGATCTTATTTCAAAGAAGACTGATTAAAATTGTCGGAGAATAACTCACCAATACAATCGCAAGCAGCAATGATGTTATCAGATGTACGAGTGATAATCAAGTCAAGTGTATGACCAAGTTCATGCGTAGTAGACAAACATGCTGCGTGAGATCCATGGACTCCAGTATATCCGACAGGTAGATACATACGGATGTTAAAATCGCCCAAAATTATCAAGGGCTCACTTGACATGACCACAGAGACTCGAGGTAATCGGTTAACGGCTCGGTGAAAAATGTGGATGTGGTCACACGATGTTTAGCAGAATATGGAGGTCTGTAAACTATAACGAATAGTAAACGAGAAGTAGTTACTAGGAAACTTATTCCGTTTATAAGTTTACTAGGAAAGTTATTCCGACCATGTTTATATATCAACAGCTCTTTACATTTACGATTGTTTGTATCCCTCAGTGACTCCTACAGAAGTTCCCATACTCTGGATAGTGTTGGGAGTTTCCGTGGCTCTTTCTGCTTTGGTGGTGGGGATAATTGTCTACCGTAAGAGAGCAAAGAGGAATGAACGGTATTTCATAAAATGTTATTGTCTATATGACTGCTTTGTATTATGATAATGATATGCATGCAGAAATAGACGATATTTTTTCTGTGTAAGTGTCTGACTGTCTTTAAGTGTCTGTCTCTCTCAGTCGACAAGTCGCGCTGGCCAGTGACCTTCATTACAGATCAAGGCGATGTAACTTTTATCACCTTGTATAAACCAGGAAGCCATCTCTGACTTAAGCATTACCACAATCCCAGGATTAATGACAACGAATTTCACTAACATTTGCTTTGCACTATTTTCTTTAGATCCAGTGAGTCTGACATTGCTGAGTTCATGTTGCTGGAAGTCCCACACGAGCGGGTTACTATCATGGAGGAACTGGGACGAGGCGCTTTTGGAAGAGTTTATAAGAGCGTGATGAGGGGGTTACCTGAAAAGAATACATCCTCCAAACACAAGGATCACCGTTTGGATTCGCATGAGGGACGTATTGTTGCTACAAAAGTTCTACCAGGTGCGTGAATTCAGAATGTGGCAAAAAGATGACTTACTCTTTCAGCAAACGCTATTCAAGGGAGTGATTCTTATTAATAACAGGCAAGAGAGCCTCTCTTGTAACCAGCCTCTCTTGTATCTATTTAATCCAATAGATAGCAAACATTATATCGTGGAAAACAGCATCTCAATGCCTCAGTCGGTAACAGTGTGATGTACCTCAGGGGCCCATTTTAGATCTTTAAATTTTGTTTTTTACTTATATTAATGACCTCCCTGAATGTTTGAAATTTACCACACGTTTTGCAATGAATAAATTAATATAGACATAAAAACCTTCAGTGAGATCAGAACATTGATAAGGTGTGCTCCAAGGTTAGTCGTGTTATAAGTGGTATAGACAGGCTCGAGATTATGTAACATTAAATGTACTAAAAAGTATATAGCGCCTAAATAGATGCCCGTGCTCGAGCGAAAACCGAGCGGGCACCTTTTTAACAAAACCACACAGATATAAAAAATGCAAAACAGGGCAGGCTCCATGATCACTTCTCATGGCTGTCACATGACAACAGATTATCTCTCTAAACCAATTCAAAATGTTAGTGCATGCGTTCGTAACGTGCATGTAGATTGGTCGTTCTCTTATGTGATCTTTCGAAATACGTTATTTCACATGTTTCAGTCACTTGCGAACTTTATCTGTTCGTATGTGGTTGCAAATATGACCACATTATTGCAGCTTTACTTAGAGAACTACATTGGCTTCCCTTGGAGCATGAGTAGCGGATTTTAAATTATTCATGTCCGAGCTGTAATCGTCATTTGTTTCAAACTTACATGTCTGTTAGGAGTTCACGATCATCAACCATGAACTTCTTAATTAGTGACACCAAGATCAAGGCTAAAACTTTTATCGGACGATCATACTTTTTCGTTTTGTGCCCCTAAACTTTGGAATGATTCTCCAGAGCACATACAGTGTAAAATGGAGTTTGAATATTCGTTCTTCTAAGAGTAATCTTAAAGCTTTAAAAACCTCTAAGCGTTATTTTTATTTCGTAGTTTTGTTTAACAATTTTTTTGTCAGTGTTACGAGGTACTGCTTTCTAGTCGTTTAAGTTTAAAACATTTATTTGATGACGATGACGGTGAGCCCAAAACCCTCGGTGAAACTCAATTACAAAAGCATATTGGGATGTCCCTGTCTACGCAGAGTCAATGAAAATGAGCCAATTGGATAGATGCGTTAGGATTACAAATGTACACTCAAGGAAAGTCATATTACTGGAGATAAAGTACCCGTGGGTCGAGAATAGGGAAGCAATTAAAGAACACAAAACTTGACGTCTAGAATTAAAGAGACAAGTTTCCGGACTAAAAGATCTTCCAGTATTACATCATGTTACATGTCGTGCTTGGTGATCGCTAGATGAAGAGAACTATGACGGTTTTTCTTTGAGACTTTGTTTTATCTACTCACTTAACTCAGGGAACCAATTTTTTAACAAATAGATTTTTTTCTCAAGCAGAAATTAGGACCTGAGCTATTGACTGTGTTTAATTTTCATAGGTTAAATATACTTTCATTTTAATTAGTTTTTTTTTTCTTTACGTCTGGTTTTAGTTGTTTAGCACTAACTGATATCGTGTAGCATATACGTAGGTCACGGTTACCTGGATTTGTTGTAAATTTCTTTTGTTTTTTAGAAAATGCCACGGAGGAGGACAAACGGCAGTTAGTTCGGGAAATAGAGCTGATGAAGGAAGTCGGAACACACCGTAATATTGTGAGCATGCTCGGCTACTGGATCCAATCACATCCCATCATGTTAATCATGGAATATGTTCCAAACGGAGATCTTCTTCAGTGGCTCAGAAACAAAAGGCAACAGGTATCATTACTTTATTAGCTGTATCAACAAAAATTTGCTGGCCTCTGTTTTGCCTTTTGTTTAAAAAATATCTTCTCTCCATTCGCAATGGGGCTGCGCACAGATATTATTCATAGAACTCAAACTCAGACAAACGAATTCCTCAATTTTGTTTGTCTTTTTGTCATTAAAGTGTCAAGTTTGTCTGGAAAATGGAAAACTATAACTGGAAAATGGTCGGAGAATAACTCACCAATACAAGGGCAAGCTGCAATGACAAACATGTGAGACCCATGGACTCCAGTATATCCGACAGTTAGATCCATATGGATGTTAAAATCGCCCAAAATTATCTTAGGGCTCACTTGACAAGACCAGAGAGACTCGAGGTAATCGGTTAACGGCTCGGTGAAAAATGTGGATGTGGTCACAGGATGTTTAGCAGAATATGGAGTTTAGCAGAATATGAATTCCTCAAATTTGTTTGTCTTTTTGTCATTAAAATGTCAAGTTTGTCTGACTTTTGTCGTGAAAATAACAAAAATGGCAGATTTCAGACACACATGGCAAATCAGTCACTCTGACGTCATTAGTATTCTGTGCTGCACTTTAATTTTCTAATGAACATTGCTCTGAGCGTGTATGTTCTTTTTCATACATTGTGTGGTCTCTTAAGGCAGAAGGAAAATCCTCTACCTCATCACACGTCTAAAAACCATCGTCTTCAGTAAAAATGATAAGATGGTAGACAACTTGATGTGAGAATTTGTACATGTTACCTATAATACAGAGGTGCACTAACTGAATGTGGATATCAATGCAACCGGATATTCGTATTTTTCCAAAAGCGGTTTATACAGCCAGACTGTTTAGATGCTATTCATGTATTCGGAAAACAAAGATCGGTAAATACACAACAATTTGTATTCAAGCCAAGCTTACCCTGGTACGATCAGTTAAGGTTTCCGGGAAACTGCCCACCTATCCCTGCCCTAAGTCACATTTTGCCCTGAGTGAGAAGGTAGTGTTAATGTTGTCTTAGGAGAGGGGAAGGTGGTCAGAAAAGAAAACAAAACAACGTTTTGAGCGTTTACCCCTGGGGGTACTCCCGCCCGATAGGATGAGGATCTCCATCCTTAAATATGGTAATGTTATTCTGTCAGGTAAAATTCACGTGCGTTTTTCTGTTTCCTTCAATTCTTAGGTTTTTTTTCCCCCTTGAACTGGGCCTCATTTTCCATGTTTGGGTCTTTAATATGATATTGGTTTTCGCTTGTCTCAACTATTCGAAATTTTTGAGAGTACCCCCCTCCCCCCCAGGTGGGCATTAACCTTTTCTGGTCAGAATGAATCACGGGATTACTAATGGTGGAGCTACTCTATTGTTTGAACATGGTAACAAGACAAGAATAGTTTACTTCAAAGAACGCTTTTCATTCTAGTAATTTACTTGTTTCTTTTCTCATTTTCCCATGTATTCACCAACAGTTGAGGTCCGCCATTTGATAAACCGTCCTTGATTCGAGCTCACAAAGGGCTTCCACTCAAAATGCTAGTCAGCTTTTCGATCCACGGTCTTTCAATGGTGGCAAGATGAGTTATTCAAATCAGCCGATAACACCAGAGTTTTGCTTTTCACCCCCCGACCGAAGCAGTAGAAAAGTTTCTTTTTAAAAGACGCTTCAAAATATTTTGGTGGACATAATGATTGTCCGTCCAGAGTTTCTAAACCGCCGCCGTCTGCTGAGCGGGAGGCCGTAGGTTCAAACCCCGGCCGGAGCAACACCCAGGGTCTTTAAATAACTGCGGAGAAAGTGCTGCCTTTGTATAACTTCTGTAAACGGTTTGACTTTCTGGTCTTCTCGGAGAAGGACGGTAAACCGTAAGCCCCGTCTGACAAGCCCTTGCACATGTATTAATTCTGTGGGACGTTAAAGAACCCACACACTCGCTCTTCGTGAAGAGTAGGGCACGTAGTGGCTGGTGTAGTGGTTTATCTCACTTTCACACTCATTTATGGGGGCATCATTACTCATTCCTTCACTACTTGTAAAATGCACCTTAAGCAGTCTGGCAAAGTCCCCCAAACAGTATTGTAAATTACACATTACACGTCCCGAAAGCCCTGTACAAGATATGACGTTTAATCCATTTGAATTTTCCGTGGACGCTTTAAAGAAAGTTGGCCCATAAGGTATCCCTCTATTCCCGGCTAGATTTTCAGTTTAACGTCGGTTAAGTAATCTTTCAATTCACATGGATTCCTTTTAAATTGGTAAAAATATTTCGGCTAACCAACTGATAGTGTTGAAATTGTTTCTGCTGACAAAACCGTTTCATGATCAGACGGAATTCATTTCATTATTTTTTTGCAGCTTACAATGAAAAAGAGTCAGCAAAGTGATGTCGTTGAAAGGCTTAAGCCTCCTGTTCCTGAGAGACCGAAATTGGTGTCCAGGAACCTGCAAACAAAAGATGTCCTGGATGAAAACCTGGAAGAGGAAAAGAGCGAAAGAAATAATGAAGAAAGTAGAAAAGACGGTGGTTATCATTCCAGCGAGACGAAGGAAATTAAAATCGACCTGGACGACGCTGAAAGAGGAATTCTAATCAACGATGCTCCTCGATCTGAGATGGAACCTTCTTGCTTAAACCAGGGTTACGAAGATGACAAGGAGGAAGAAGAAAGTGACGATATCAACACGTCATTTCTACAAAATGAAGGGCGAAAGGGGTCGGTTGCGTCGGTGATGGTGTTACCTTCGATCAAAATTGCCCATTTCTCCAAAGAAAAAGAGCTCACTCTTGCTGAGCCCTTAAGAAACGTCGAAGAAAAGATCACCATCGAGAAAGAAGAAAGCAGCTGTGAGGGCAAGGAAGATGATGAAGAAGACAGTTCTGGGAAAGAAGTTCTATGTTATGCGTGGCAGATTGCTAAAGGGATGGTAAGAATTTTTTCGACTGAAGAATGCCTTGAGCAATTTAGTCATCATTTGCAAAGCACAAAAATCTGCCTCTTGCCCATATTTAAAAAACTTCTTTTTCCGGCGTGGTGTTCCAAGGAGGGCTTCATTCCACTCACCCCAAGTCTCCCTGAAAAACAGAATTTAATTAAGTGTCAACAGGAGTCAACGGGCTTTCTTCAGCGGTTGAAACACAGCCAATATTCATCCCTTCGAGTTATCGAGAGTAAAATTGTATGAAAGTGATCTGAAGGGAAACAAAAATTACTTCGAGTTAACGGGAGTTTCGAGTTATCGAGGGTTCGAGTTACCGAGGGTAAAATTACGGTAAATGTATGAAGGAAATCCAGGGGAAATCGATTTTGGTTCTAGTTAGCACAAGGTTTGAGTTAGCGTGGGTTCGAGTTATCGGGAGTCGACTGTAGTTCACTTAGCCTGTTCAACTTTGACGGCTTTTTTTGCTGAAAAGAATACGTTGCGGGGTTTTCTTGGCCAATTCCTTTATTTGTTTCTTCGTTTCCTAACGGCTGTTACGGAAATCCTCCATATATTCTTCATGAATAGACCCACGATCACTTCCTCCCGCTTTCCGGACCGTTTGCCTGGCACAGTTTGCAGTAGCCTTTTCCAGGCTCTCGATAGTAGGGATGTCGCGTAAGCGTAAGGCACCGGCAAAAATATAAACGCGTGATCTAGAATTGAAAAGGGGGTGGTGGCGGGCCATTTTTGAGCCTGGAACAGACATTTCATTGCACTTGGTTGCTTTTCCGTCAAGTCGTTAAATCATTCGGGAGTTCGTTTACAACGATATCTCGATTAAGCTGCTATCCCCCTGCCATATCGTAAAATCGAGGTTCCATTTTACTTTCATATTGACCAATCAAAATGGAAATTTGTGTTGATCTAAAGGTATCTGGTAACCAAAAATAATTTCGTTATTTCTCTGCCAGGAATACTTGGCCAGCAAAGGATTCATTCATCGTGACCTGGCAGCCCGTAATATCCTACTTGGTGAGGACAGAGCTGTGAAGATCGCTGATTTTGGTTTGTTACGCCACGCAAATGAAAGTGAGTTATACGAAGTTACGAGCGTAAACAAGTTACCAATGAAATGGATGGCACCTGAAGCGTTGGAAAGCGGCATTTTTACTTTCAAGACTGACGTGTAAGTATATGTTAATAAGGTCACAGTTAGGCAAAGCTTGGGCTTCCTGTGATGCAGTGTGACATTGAGGTTCTCGATATCATAGAACCTGCAATGTACTGTTTAGAACTGTCTGAAAAAAAAAAAAAAAAAGAGCACAATTTTGTTCATGACGCTGTCTATAGTAGTGGTTATCACTCTATCTCTAAAGGAATACTCAAGCGTTTGGAAAACATTAGCCTGTTCCAGGCGTGAAACTTGAAAATAAGAGATGTCAATAGAAACTTTGAGCCGATGAAGTTGATCTGAGACCATCTTGGATCCTAGATTCCGCGCTCCACATCCCGCATTCCAGATACTGGATTCCGGGTTCCAACTCAGTGTATTCCAGATTTCAAAAGGCCTAGATTCCAGAATTTCATAGTTAGCAGGATTCCGGATTCCAAAGTCCATGATTCCGTGCAAAAACTTCCAGGATTCTGCAATCCGTATTACCTTCCATGGGGCGAGATAAACAAAATTGATATTTCTATTATATTTCTTCTGCTTCCTTTTATTGCAGATGGTCTTTTGGAGTTGTTTTGTGGGAACTAGCCACCATGGGTAAGCTGGTTAATAATCTCTAAAGTCACTTTCCTATACACGAGGGAATTGAGAGGAATCCCCCAAAGGGAAAACCTGACTGTTCAGCTTTAGGACAGCAGGCACGGGAGATTTGAACCGCTTTATAAAAGAGGCCATTCTGGCATAATGTCGTGATAGCTAAACAACTAGAAAAAATAATAGGCTAACTTCCGCCGCTCTCTCAGCCGTCTTTACCGCGGAGGAGCGCAGGCTCATAATAATTCAGCTTATAATTCATACCCTTAACAACAACTTGACCTGATATCACGTGTCACTTGGCGAAATGAATACTCAGTAGAGTCTACTCAGTAATGGTAAACTTGTACATTACGTTATTTTAATCCCTACTGGAGGTTGAATTGGTAAATTGATAATACATGATGGTCATTGAACTGAGTGGAGAGCACTTTGGTCTGAAATCATACGGGTGATTTCGCGTGCGAGTTCGATTTGAGATCAAAAGTATGATTTCAGACTAAAATTGCACGACACGAAGTTAAATTATCACTTTATTACAGCCATTTTGAAATCGCAGAATTCCATCACGTCAATCAGTACCAGCAGTGACTGGCCGTGGCACCAGACAAGTTAGTTCGTTATCCCCCATACTCGTTAACATATATTCTGAAGCCATTAAGAGATGCTTTAAGTGGTGTGAATGAAGGTATTCGAGTGGGAGGTTATCTCATTAAGACAGTGCGCTTTGCGGGTGATCAAGCAACCTTAGCAAGGTCAGTTAAAGGTCTGCAACTTATGATGAATTAAATCTAGGAAGGCGCGGGGGAATATGATATGAAGATCAATGTTAAGAAGACTAAGGTGAAGAAAATCAGTAAGAGGCCTGGTGAGGAATTCACGAGAACCAGTAAACAACTAAGTCAAGAATGGTCGCACTTTAATTACCTTGGGAGCCTCATTACACAGGATGGATCCTGTGAAAAATAAATTAGATCGAGAATAGCACAAAAACGCGTTTACTAAGAAAAAAGAACTGCTGACAAAAGCCTTCAGCGTGTTAGCCTTTGCCTGAAGAACAGAATTATAAAGACTGTCATCTGGGGTACTCCTCTGAATGGAGTTGAATGATAGACCTTAAAGAAAGAGGACGTGCGAAGGCTGGAGAGCTGTGGGATGTGGCTTTGGAGAAAAGGTTTTAAACATAACTTGGTCTGACAAAGTCTGTAACGAAGAAGTATTGAGGCGTGTCGGTGGGAGGAGAGGACCATCATAGCTTTTATCAACAGAAGACATAGAGTCTGGCTTGGTCAAACCCTACGACATGGTGATCATGTCCCATTAGTCATTGAGGGAAGAATACGAGGAAAGAGACCACCTGGAAGACCTCGAGAGGGAATGCTGGATAGAGTGAAGGATGGCAGCTCTTACGTAGAGGTCAAGAGGCGTGCCTTAGATCGAGAACCATAAGGAAGGACTTGCCTGTGGGCAGATCAAATAGCCTGTTGAAAAGCGGAAACAAAAGGGCTTTTACATCTCATTTTGTATTCGAAACAGAAATGATGCGATATAAAGCAAGGTGCGACGGTGCGACGTGGTTTAGAACATAAATAACGCGATTTAGAACAGATATGATTGTGTAATTCGCAAATAAATCACACTGCTGAGAGCCAATCAGATTGTAGGGATCACCATCGATTTCAAAATGAAAAATAAGAAAAGCCCAAAAATCTTTGATAAGACATAATTGATCTTTATTTTGTTACTTTAGGGGGCAGACCATACCCTGGGATAAGCCCTATGAGGTTATGCAGTTTACTAAAATCTGGATATCGGATGGAGAAACCCAACACGTGCAGCGATGAAATGTAAGTCAGAATAGAGATAATAACAGACATCTGAATAGAGGGCACGATGAAGAAATACTTACATAGTCCTTCAAACAGTTTTTTTTCTAAAATTGTCAGCCTTTTCAAAGGAGTGGAAACTTCAGCGCGCCTCTTTCCTTTACGTTGCCCCACTCTAAAAAGAGCCTATAGAACATAAGTGTCTTCAATATTCAAAGTAAATGGAGACATATCTTTGTGTAGCGGTATTTTAAACTATGGCTTCCTTTTTCAACAGATACAAATTGATGATGGACTGCTGGAAGGAGGATCCAAATGAACGACCCTCCTTTGTTCAACTAATACCGATACTGGAAGGGATGATGACAGAAGATACCCCTTACTATTATTTCAGACTACTGGATCAGAACCAGCCATGTTACCGTGAGACATCCGCTACTAACACCAGTAAAACTAGTACTCTTGATACCAAGCTGTAATTTCTGTAGGGGCTCTATGGTTTAATATTTGTCAAAGCACCGTTTTTTTCTTTAGATTGTTATAGGGGTCTTGGAGCGGGGGGGAGGGGGGGAAGCTCCAATATGAAAGCATAGAGGGGGAATGTTCGACGGATAAGTAGATTAATAATTGCAGTTGCACCGTCTGCAACACCAAGAAACTATACTCATAAACTGAACACCGTTGTTTTCATCTTCACTGTTTTCCAGTATTCATAACCACTCTCCTCAGTTACGATCACAAATGGCAGCCAAAGTAGAACACTCTCTAACGCCTCATTATGACAACGTCTGATCTTTTCATAATTATATAGATATTTCTTTACGCACAACCCTAAAGCTACACGCAAACGGACGCAACAACTTCCAACAATGTTGAACAATGTTGGGAGTTGTTGGCCAACAAAGTTACATTTAAGGTTAAAAATATTGGCTTTTTGTCTTGCACAGTCAAAGTGAGACCAAAAACTGCAACGTCTACGTCTAAGAGAGACGAGCAACCCCGTAATTTTCATATGAGAGTTCCCTTGTCCACCAAGGAACAGGACTTAGATGACGAGCGCAACTGTTTAATGGGTTATTGCAATAAAATACCTAATAACATTTACTTTCATTTGAAAGACATCGATAAAGTACTGAATAGCACTCTTAATATAACAATTGTAGGGACTAAAATCGGTTCATTCTCAACAAATGACTATTAAGTTGTTAGTAGTTCGGATTGTTTCTTCTACTTTTTAGTCTGTCCACACTATACTGGAAATAGATTTTCGTGTCGACATGAAAATGTATCCGGTAGTATGAACGACAACCGTATAGAATTGGAACAAGTCGTCCACACATATCGAACATCGCACCAGAGCGGTCGGTTGGCCGAGAGGCCAGTTTGGTGTACTAAATCCCAGTCCTCTCTCCTAACCTAATGATGATCCATTTTTCAAGATCGGCGGCGGCGCAGTTTCGTTGCTTAAAAGAAATAGCCGGAAAATCACCGTTTTCTATGAGCTGACAGAAGCAAAATACGGTAGTATTTTCATGTCGGTGCAAGGGCTATCTGATCGTAGCCTTCAGAGTTTCTCATACGCCAGCTATTAACCTATCACATAATTCCGTGGCTAAAATTCAATGTTACGAACGTTTTAATCGGCTAGGTTAGATTACAACATTGCCATTCGCTATAAACATGTCATGTCATGTCATGTTGGAGAAACGAACTATTGACTCAAAAAGGTGACATCAGGAGTAAGGTGATAAAAGGCACTTCGGTTCACCATACTAATATTGCGGCAGTAGAAGAAAAAAAGCTTAATTATTGTAGAGATCGTTGCTGGTGTTGAATAATAATTATAGTGATTATAGTTTAGCTTTTGCATTTCTTCTAGTAGTGTCATTAGCAGATCACTTGGGAAACCCACGTCTGGGTATGAAAAGTGAAGATTCGGATTATCAGGGCAGTTCGGAAAAAATAACATTCAATTTCCGACCAATGGTGCCAATACAATAAGCAGTGCAGGAACCTTTGTTACAATTTCTGCAGATAAGGTCTGGTTTGGAAGTCAGTATATATAACACACTATTCTCTAAAGGCACACAATCAGGGTCAGAGACGGGAAAGAAGTTATCCACCTCGGCGTTCATCCGATACCCCTCCTCGATCTGCATAATTTATATAATTCTTTTATTTAATGGCTCATACGCCAGGAACGAAGTCAGCACCAGCAAGAACGTTTCAATGGTTAATTTATACAACTATGCATTTATTCATTTAATACATATTGCGTATTTACATAATAATATTGCTTCATTTTATAATGATAATAATAAATTTTTGAATGGCAGGAGTAAGATAAACTATTGTAGGGGCTTCGGTATGAATGGGATCACTTTGATATATCGTGCTATTATTCAAACTCATAGCCAGGCCAAGAAAACCAGAAGAAACAAAAGTCATCACTCTTCTTCCTCGTGTTCTCAGGACATGACGTCAATGGATATATCGACAGTGGCCTATTTCATAAACTAATGTCCAGCTTTTGTCAGTTTCTATATATTTGATGTCATTCTTTAAAATAAATTGAAGGCTTTTAAACTTTATCTGAGTTTGTGGTCATTTCTGAGTGATACGCTGAGAATCTCGAGAAAAGCAATCTCCCTGTTCCCCACAAGACAGGCTATTCAGCCTAATGATTAAAATTAGAGGAAAAGGGAGACTATCATGTAGTATCTTTGTGTGTTAAAAGGTTAATCCGAATTACACACGTGCTTGATCACATGTCTGACATGTCGCAAAAGGCAAAACAGGTAGTGCAAGATCTTTTTCTCGTACCAGCTAACTGATAAATAACCAATTGTCTAGTCTGTGTATACAGCAACCCCTTAGGATTTTTCCTCAGGAGGGCTATTTTGAATGGACCGGCACAAATTAAATATCATAATTGGACTGGAGAGCGAACTAGTGAGACAATTTAAGCGTGAGTCAAAAACGAGGGTTGTAAAAGAGCCGGCTACTTGGGCTCTCTAAGAAAGGGCATAACAGATATCGGAAAATATATTGGAAGTTGGTGCGACAATAAACATGCTTGTGGAAGTTGTGAAACGTCGAACGCTTGACAAAATTCTTGAAAGAAGACAACCTCTCTGACCATGACTCCTAAAACAAGCAAAACGACCCGTTCTATTTATTCTTCCTTTTTATATCTGCCTTAGGATAACAATATTCTTATTCTTAGTAATATTCTATTTCACCATAACCGTAAGTGGAACAACTTGACCACCATATTTTTGGCAAGACCGCAGCAGTCTTTATAGGGCAAATTACGTTTTTTAAGTAAACGACAGAACTATGCGCCTTAAAATACAAGCATTTACAGTAGTTCTGTAAAAGCAACCAAGGATTTGCCAAGAAGAATAAAGCTGCGACTGGATTTGGGAGTTCTCGTCAAGTATTTCCACAAAATTTAACAAAGATATTTTTGTACTTATATACGAATTACGAGCCTTTGGTTGTAAACCAAGAAAGGTTCAATAACTTTGACGGTTCTCCACAAAGTATTTTTCTACCAGCACCCCCGAAAACCAAACGAATTCATACTCCAGTCATCCTTAAAAACGGACTTTCAATAGCATGGAGTGAGGAATGCGTGAGGTTCTCGAGGGGCCTTCGTTAAGCCAACTGAGAATCTAACACGCCATATTTCCCATATTTCACGAGACCAGGAAAAATGTTCTTTGCGGGGCCTTTCTTAGGGTAATAACAATCTGGTGGGCGCTTCAACATCACGCCAAACTCGGACGAAAGGGTCGGTGCTGGTGGTGGTGGTGCAGGTTTTTGAATTGATGTATTCTCTGGAACTAACTCAAGAATCTTTGCTCGGGATAAACCCGGATTATTTGGTCTCGGCGAGCTTTTGCTAGCTTGGCTGAGTTCGCTTCTTGCGGATATATTGGGATCACTATGGACAGCCGAAGGTTTTGATTGTTTCCATGGATTGTGAAGGCCACCAAAGAACCCACGAGCACTCGAGAAAAGCAGCCCAGCTGTACGACTGACAACACCGGCTGACCTAGGCGCGTCAGCACTAGAATGACTTTCAGGGGAAGGCTCGGGTCTGTTGGACGTTTCATAGCTTGGACTGTCAGGCAGAAGTTCAGGTGTACTGGACCCTTTACGCTTGCGATGACGTTTCTTCTTACTCTCACTGGTATTGAAGGTATTACCCTACAAGAAATAGAGTACTACAGTTAGTAATCATTTCTAGATTAAGAGTGTTTCTCAATAGTGACCGTTAGATTCTAAGACGAAGACGACTACAAGGAAGAGGTTTTGTCAATGGCAAGAAGTGCGAGGCGTGAGCCAACATCATTTTGGCGGGAAAACGTGACAGCCGTGGTCATTCTACTACGCGTTTTAACGAGAATGTCATTGAGGCGGAAATAAGTTATCAAATGTTAGAAGTTTTATCATTCTGCGATCGGGAGAGGGCTCAAACTCCTTCAATAAAAATAACCGTTCTAACTTTTCTAGTAAAAAAGTGCAATAAAACTTTTCGGGATTACTATTTTCTGAGAAGGGGCAAAAAAACCTCTGAGTCGTCCATGCTCACAAATGTAAAGATCTCTATTTTAGAA